CTGCATTTCATATATCTTTCCCTATCATCTCTTCTAAGCAAAATCCAAAGGCAAAACAAATGCTCTGGGAAGGCACAGAGAGACCCACAAGGGAGAGGGCAATGCATCAGAACAGGAACTCAAAATTTAATAATGGAGTATTTGTGCTAAGTCATTTTGGACTTCCTACAAACTCGGAAATCAAAAAGCCCTAATGAAGTGTCCCTTGCCTAACACAATTCCTGACATGTGGTTGGTACTAATAACTATTTTGCTGAGTAAATTACTGAGTCTTTATTCACAGTGCTCAAAGCATCAGAATTCAGTTAACTATAGAACAGAGTTTAAGAAATCTCAAAATAACAATCTTCATCTTTGGCTGTGAATTCAACTTAAGTTTTTTATTAGTACTTTTGGAAATTCACTTTTATAAAGTCTGTAAGCTGTCACAAGTGGTTAGCAAGTGGTTCTCTCCGCTGGGGTGGGGTAGAAGGAGATGCCCTATCAAAACCCTAGACGGCAGATTCTCTGATGTGAAATAGGCTTCTGTCTGAAAGAAAAAAATTGTATGCTGAGTTTGCTAAGATCTACAGTAACTTTTATTACAGTATATTGCTATAATTGTTCTATTTCATTATTAATCATTGTTAATCTCTTGCTGTACCTAATTTATAAGTTAAACTTTATCAGAGGTATGTACATATAGGAAAAAACATAGTATATAGAGGTTCAGTACTATCCATGGTTTCAGGCATCCACTCGGCATCTTGGAACATATGCCCATGAGAATAAAGGGGGACTACTGTATTACAACTTGGTGAATTAAACAAAAAGACTCAATTCAGACTGAATTTGACTATGCTCTGTTCTCCATTGTATCTTATGGATCTCTCCTCATAGATGCAGATATTCAAAGATCAAGACTAATGTTATTCTCTATAAAATTTTATAGTTAAAACTTCAGAGGCCAGCCCTGTGGCCAAGTGGTTAAGTTCCCACACCCCACTTCTGTGGCCCAGGGTTTCGCCAGTTCGGATCCTGGGCACAGACGTGGCACCGTTCATCAAGCCATGCTGAGGTGGTGTCCCACATAGCACAACCAGAAGGACCTACCACTAGAATGCAGAACTATGTACTGGGGGGTTTTGGGGAGAAGAAGAAGAAAAAAAAGATTAGCAACAGATGTTAGCTCAGGTGCCAATCTTTAAAAAAAAAAAACAACTTCATAATAATTTAAAAAGTAAGTAGTCTTTAATAAATGAAATTTTTTACTAAAGAGTCCTAGTCACTCAGGAAATGTAACCTCTAACCCCAAGGCTTGTGTTGACTCAAAGCAAGTAAAACATTTTTTCTCTTCAGTATGTAGTTATAAAACATGTCTATTATAGGAAATACTGTTAATTCATAAAATATTCCAGTTATTTACTTGTATTGTAAATAAACTTGCTCATTTTTTCTTATTCCTTTCTTCATTCCCCCAAAATATGTGTATCTGTCTCATATCTTTGGGTATATATACATATATATAGAGAGAGAGAGAGAGAGAGAGAGAGAGTTATATATACACTTCTCCTTTGTGAAAGCTTCAGTGGAGGAAAAAGTATGTCTTTCTCCCTGTAGCTGCTCATGCTAAAGACGTAATGCTAATACATTTGTATCTAAACACACTGTAAAGCCCGTCTTCTAAAAATCCCAGTTCAGCTCACCAATATCTCTCATTGCGGCAAAAACTTCCTAACTGGTGTTCCTGCTTTCATTCCTGCCCCATTCTCCATCTGTTGCTTTTAAAAATATATATATCAGATCATTTCACTCTCATTAAAGCTCTCTAATAGCTTCCCATTACACTTAGACTAAAACCCAACCTTCTTACTTTAACCTCTAAGTCACTTTTTTTTTTTTTTTTTGAGGAAGATCAGCCCTGAGCTAACATCTGCTGCCCAATCCTCCTCTTTTTGCTGAGGAAGACTGGCCCTCAGCTAACATCCGTGCCTGTCTCTCTCTACTTTATAGGTGGGACGCTTGCCACAGCATGGCTTGCCAAGTGGTGCCATGTCCGCACCCGGGATCCGAACCAGCAAACCCCGGGCCGCCCAAGCAGGACGTGTGCACTTAACCGCTGCGCCACCAGGCCAGCCCTCTAAGTCACTTCTGATCCAACTTCTGCTTCCCTCTCTGAGCTCCTCTCCTCTTCCTTTCCCCCTCTGACACATGTGTTTCTTGACATTCCTTGGGCACAAAGCCCATTCCTATCACACAGTCTTTGCACTGATGCTATCCCCAGGTCTTTACCTGGCCAGATCCTTTTCATCACTCAGGTCTCAATTTAAGTGTCAGTCCCACAGAGACACCTTCTTTGACCTGTATCTGAACTCCTCCCTACCCCCATTAGCCAGTTTTATTTTCTTCTTAGCACTTACCATGATCTGATATTTATTTATGTAAACTGCCTGTCTCTCTCCTTTGAAATGTAAGCTCCATGTGTGCAGGACATTTTCTGTCTTATTCACTATTTTATATCCCCAATGTCTAGAACACATGCCTAGCACATAGTAGGCATTCAATAACTATTTGTTGAATGAACAAATGAATGAATGAATTTATGGACACTAGTTTTCTCATGGGACAGTTGTAAGATTTAGAGATAATAAAGTGTCTGCCAAGCTAAGCTTTCAATAGTTGTTTGCCGCTTGAGGGCTAAGAACTCTGCTTTATTCCCTGTTTGAGTCATCTAGAGTGAAGACAGGGTTCTGAAGGAGGAAATGAAGCCGTGGAGATGTGGGAGAGCATGGAAGCCCCTTGCTCTTTCCTCATACCTTGCCTTATGCGTCTCTTCCATCTGAGGTATATCCTTTTATAATAAACTAGTGATCTACTAAGTAAAATGTTTCTCTGAGTTCTGTGAGCTGCTCTAGCAAATTAATCAAACACAAGGAGGGGGCTGATGGATCCTCCAATCTATAGTTGGTCAGTCAGAAGCACAGGTGACAACCTGGACTTGCGATTGGCGTCTGAAGTGGGGGAGGGAGGGCAGTCTTGTAGGACTGAGCCCTTAGCCTGCGGGATCTGATGCTATCTCCAGATAGAAGGTGTCAGAACTGAGTTGAATTACAGGACACCCAGCTGGTCTTGGAGAATTGTTGGTTGGCAGGGCACCCCCGCTACCAATTTAGGAATTGGGTGCTCAGAACCTTTTAGCAGGTTTTCTCCAAACTTTATATCCCTGACTGCCTACACACCAGGAGTCTGATCCCACCCTGAGGCTTTGTTTAGACATAGTCTGATTAGTAGAGTGATTGAGCTTGACCCAATTTTCTTGGTTCCTCAAAGGGACCTTTCAGTGAGCACATTAAGAATAGGATTGTAGCACTGGGGATAAACTCTTCATCCTCCATTCCCTAAACTTACTATAAATTGATGAGAGGATTCAAGATTGGTAAAATAGCTGTAATACAATAGTGTTTTCAATATGTGAATATGGTAAGGGAAAGGCTAACCCAAGGCTAGCTAGAAGTTTTGTGTGATTGAAAGATGAATCAGTAAACTATCTGTCCAGGAAAAGAACAAAACCCAAGATTCTGGGAGCTTTCTGTGATCCAGTGGGTCAAGGATGTGTTCGAAGAAGAGAAAGTTCCCCAGGAATGAGAGAGTCGAGGTGGAAGAGTATAGTTAAATAAAAGCATTGTGGTCAAAATAAAGGCAAGCATAACCATTCTGAGAATCCCCCCACAGGCAGTCACAGATTCAGATAATTACAAGAGCAAGCAGAATTGTTCTGTGCCAATGTAGGTGGGACGTCATGAGGAAGAGAAATGGGGAAGCGCCGGGAACACAAGACAAAACAGCTTGTTGTGGTGGCAGGAAGGTTGAGGGGTGGGAAGCAGGCTGGCAGACTGACAGCTGCTCACTAACGGTAGCACCAAAAATATGTGCACCTGGACCTCCAGATGGAATTTCTCCTGCTTGAGAATCATTCCAAGAAGGCAGAGAACTGTCTCCCTGGGAGTGGACTTGAGATAGAGAACCCAGGTCCAAATCCCTTTTCTTGAACAAGCAAACTCACTTATCTCCTGTTTCCTACCACAAAGGGCAGTCTGGGTCAGGAGTGAGGGATGGTCCCCCAAAGCCAGCCAGGCAGATTTTCTTCTCTAAAGGGACTTAAGTCACTGTAGTCTCATTGTGAAAAAGTACAAGTTTTCCCACAGATCATGAAACAAATAACTAATTGATCTCTAGGGAACTTCCTTTCTCCCAGGATCTTCAAGCCTAATTGCAAGATCTTAGATCTATGGGGTCAGCCTTAGATTCTAAAAATAAATTAACTACTTAAAGATATACGCAATGCAGCCTTTTTATTTTTTATTTTCTTTTGAGGAAGATTAGCCCTGAGCTAACATCTGCCGCCAATCCTCCTCTTTTTGCTGAGGAAGACTGGCCCTGAGCTAACATCCGTGCCCATCTTCCTCTACTTTATATATGAAGACTGGCCTTGAGCTAACATCTGTGCCCATCTTCCTCTACTTTATATTTGGGATGGCTGCCACAGCATGGCTTGCCAAGTGGTGCCATGTCCGCATGCGGGATCTGAACCAGCGAACCCCGGGCCGCTAAAGTGGAACGTGTGAATTTAACTGCTGCGCCACCGGGCCAGCCCCCAATGCAGCCTTTTTATATGAGAGTGTTGAGAAATCAAACAAATAAGGAAACTGCTAATGTCTATTATAAGAAGCCAGACATTTACTTTAGAATAGTATGGAATTTTTCTGTTAATAAAACACAAACATGCCACCAACAACTAAATGCCTCAAAGCCCTTTGCTTCTGTTCCCCCATCTGAATTCACACAGATCCTACTTCAAGGAATGCGTGTGATACAGCATGTGCCAAGAGAGGACAAGTTCCCTTGTTCCTAGAAGATAACACCAATCTGGGGACCCTGGTACTGAAGGCTACCTTATCTCTCCCAGACACCTTGGGTAGCACAGAACTGAGGCAGCTAGAAGTCAGGCTAAGCCTTGCCCACACAGCTTAGTAAATATTTATTAACTTATCACACAAGGTGGTTTTCCATGTGTTTACATGTACCATTCTAATGATGTCCTCTGAACTTAATGAATCTTCAAGGTATTTGAATACTAGCCTCTTCTTCAGAAAGGATGGTAAGGAATCCTTTCTGAAGGGCAATTTGCATGATTTGCATCAAGAACATAAAACTGTAATCCCACTTCCAGTAATTTACTCTAAGGAAATAAACAAAATGCCATGATATATGCATAAGGATGTTCATTGTAATATGTAGAATCGTGAAAACGGGCACACAAAATTTTGAATAATATGGAAATGGCTTAAGATATACTATGATAGGGTATTATACAACTATTAAAATCATATTTGAATAATACGAAGAAATGCTTAAGATACTGTTAAGAAAGTAAAATGCAGAATATAAAATTATATACAGTATTACCCCAATTTTGAAAAAAATTTACCTATTTAATATTTACATCCACAGAAAAAGACTGGTAGAAAACAACTGATTTACATGGAGGAATTATAATTGATTTTTTCTTCTTTATATTTTTATGATGTCCAGTTTCTTGTTTTATATACAGAATAATTTTTTTTTTAAAGAATTAGAGGCTAAGAGAACCAATATTTGAATTACCCCTCATGTGGTAGGCACTCAGTTAGCAACTTTACCAATCATCTAACCTCCACGACAATCAGAGAGGGAGGTATCAGTCCCTGGTTACCAGATGAGGAACTGGGGCTCTGCTATTTAAGCATGCTCTGTCTGCCCAGCGTGCCCTGGACTCAGGCCCAGGACAATGGCCATGTTTCCTGCTGCCCCACACGCCTCCCCTACTGCGGCTCCTAGTGGGCCCACGGGAAGGTCACCGACAAAACAGAGCCGTATATGGGTCGCCCAAGAACACGGCCTTATTTTGCTTTCTAAATTCTTCCTATCTTCCTCCAAAAGTAGAAAACTTCTTTTTCCTGAACAAGATACAGAGGCTTCTTCATTGCAAAGACTCAAGGCTCCATTCTGAAGCAGTTTTTAATCCATGTGCCCAGTTCTACATGCCTGTGCCCCCTCTCTGAGCCTATGGTATCTGCTGTCCTGCTTACTGGTTTGGCATTTTGTCAGGCTGTGAGCAGAAGGACAGGGTAGAACTGCACACCCCCACCCCTTCCACCAGCTGGCTCTTTGGTCTCTGCCCTGGATACTAAAACAAACAGGCTGTGTGCTCTGGCTCCCTACTCAATCCGAGGGGGGTGCGGGGGGAGCAGCAAATATCCCAGCTATGTGAACAATCAGGAATATCTGGCAGCACATTTGATCTTTTGTAACTTTATTTCAGCCAAACGGTCAGGGCCTCTAGGCAGCTGGGAGGCCTGACGTATCCTAAGCCTAATGTTCAGCTGGGTTTCAGGTACTGCCCTGGTGAGGGGTGCCCAATGCCCCAGCTGGCTCTGTTCCAGATAGGTCCCCAGTGATACTAACTGCAAACTCTCATACAGGCAGACGTGGAATTTTTCTCCACTGTTCCAAGGCTCTTCATCCCTTCCTGTTCCCTCCCAGAGGTAGAGACAGGAAGTCATTTGAATGGGGTCACAGCAAGTCAGTGACATTCAGAATTGGAACATGCTGCCTGGATCATCACTTTATCCTCCAGCACCACAGTTCCTAACTTAAAAAACAGACCTACCTGGGGACTTTTATCTAGGAAGAAGGAAAGGGGACAGGGAGAATGGCACATGACGCTCAAAATAACAATGGGAATAACTTGGTCCTTTTTGATTCAGACTATCTCTTTCTACAGCTACATAAGAGGATTCCATGTTCCAAAAAGTTAGAGAAATACTGGGTTAAACAGATTAAGTTACTGCAGGACTTCTCAGAACCTTTAATGTGCTCATGCATATTGTGAAGGAGTTATAATGAAAGTGTTTCCTAAACACAGTTAACTATAAAACCAAGGATCCCATAGGCACTAGGATGAACACACGTTGAGAAGTGTCACTTCCAGGTTAAGCCCGTAAGGATCCTGTGAAAACAGAAAAGTAAGGCCCAAAACAAACTCCCCAGCAGCCAGCAGCCACTATCTTCCAAACTGCAGTGTTGGATCAAACAAAGTTGTCATTCTGTACGCTCCCGTCTATACTTCAGCATAGGGTTTATGGTATTTTTCTACTTGCTGGTCAAAGCCCCTGGAAGAGAACCTTGCGTAGAAAAAGTTCACTGGAGTCAGAAGGTATTTTAGTGCCAGGCCCCTGAACTCAGGAGCCAGAAGAGGGGCAGCCTGGCTGCTGTGAGACAGGGGAGAATCCTGGCCCATCGAAGCGCTCTGGTTCCCTGTGGGTGCTGAGCCGTCATTGTCTCCCCCGGGTACCACGTGGGACCCTACACCAATTTCCTCCTCAGTTTCTCGAGAGAGAAATTCCTCATCTGTAGACCTTAAGTGCAGTGAAAAACCCAAGGGGGCAGTCAATACAGTCACCAACTTCTGGGACTCAGAGAGAGAGGCTGCCCCATCCCATTCTTTGCTACAGAGGTCTGGGAATAGCTGCTGCTTGATCTGCAAAGGCTGGAGGGAGGGTTGCTTCTCAAGGTCCCCAGAAAGGTTCTCATTCTTGGCCTTCTTTGAGTCCCTGTCAGCTTGAGATTGATCAGCATTTTCCTCAAGGGGTTCAAACACGACACCCTGGGTTCTCGGCCTCTTTAGTCTCCTTTTTAATAACAGCCAGAGAAAGCCTGGTTTTCTAGAGGAAGAACTCATGTATTGCTGCACAGAGTCTGGAATCCGGGGCACAGAGAGCCTGGGGCTCAGGCTATCTTGAAAGTAGCCCTTATAGGGCTGTCGACTGACAATGGGCACCACCTGGCAAGGCTTTAATGCTGAGACAAAGGCTCGGAGCTCAGAGTAGGAGGAATGGTCAGAGTAGGGGATGATGTGGATATCGGGGTGGGATCTGCAGATTTTCCGGCTTGTGGGAAGGATGGCAATGGTAGGGTGGGTCTGGTTCCAGTGCAGCATGGCAGAATGGCAGATCTCTACGTGGTCCACAGCATGAATGCGGCCAGCCTTCTCCTCCACTGTGAACACATCTGCCAGGCCCAGCAGCTGCACCAACTCCAGGCGCCGAGGACTCAATACCACCCAGGTCTGAAACTCCAGGGCCAGCTGCTCCAGCAGTGACTCTTTTCCCAGGCTATAGAGTCCTGAATCACGTTAAAGGGATCGGGGAAAGTAAGAGAAGGAAAAGAATGAAGCTACTGGGGAATCCTAATAAATCAACCAAATGTTTAACTAAAATACACGAAATTAATTGGGCAATCAGGGAGGAGGTGGCATTTGAGCTGAGATGTATGGAGAATGGAGTACAGGGGGGTTAACACAGAATCCACTCATTCATTCAGTTCAACAAAGGTAAGCATCTATCAAGTGTTAGGCCCTGTGAAAACAAACAAAGTTTCAGTCCTCAAGGAGTATAATCTACATGGGGACCCAGAAACAAGGTGGTTAAGGGCCATGTTGGGGAGAGGCACACAGTATTAAGAGGGCATAAAAAAGTATCCACCAGTTGATAGAGTTAGGGAAAGTTTCCTGAAAAATGACAACTAAGCCAAGTCTTCAAGGATGAGTTAAGGTGGCAAGAGAAGGGATGGTAGAGAACATTTTAAGACGGGTCAGTTTGGCGCCACTGAAGTACAAAGGAGAAACTGGTAAGAAATGACACTGGAGAGGGAAGCAAGGGCCATAGAGTAGAGGGCCTTGTATGTACTGCTGAGAAGCTTGGCCTTAATTCTGTAATTGAAGGGGAGCCATTGAAGAGTCTGCAGCAGGAACATGGCTAATTCTAATCACAGGATTAATATGACCAGAGCAGGGCTTTAGGAAAAAAAACTGACAGCAGTGTAATTCAACGGCCTGGAGGAGAAGACACTGAAAGCAGACACACCAGTTAAAAGGCCCAAACAGTACTTACACAGAAAGAAATGGAGGCCTAAATTTGGGTAACGGTTATGGTAACAGATACGGGACATGTTGTTTAATAGTTGTTTTCAGGCTTTTTTTTTTTTTTTTAAGGAAGATTTGCCCTGAGCTAACTGCTGCCAATCCTCCTCTTTTTGCTGAGGAAGACTGGCCCTGAGCTAACATCCATGCCCATCCTCCTCTACTTTATATGTGGGACGCCTACCACAGCATGGCTTTTGCCAAGCGGTGCCGCGGCTGCACCCGGGATCCAAACTGGCAAACCCTGGGCTGCTGAGAAGCGGAACGTGCGCACTTAACCACTGCGCCACCGGGCCGGCCCCTAGGCCTTTCCTGAAGGTGTATTTCAAGTCCACCACCAAACGGTGAACTCCTTTAAAGAACTTACAGGTTTTTTAATATCCATCTTGTTTCTCATCATGGTTCAAAACCTCACTCTTTGGGCACACATGTAGCTGATTTTCTTTTCCCTTTCCATTTTCCTCTCCACTCACTTTTTTTTTTTTTTTTTTTTACTTTTTCTAGGTCCTTTACTACTAGACTGTAAGCCCTCATATCTTATTCATCTTTCTATTCCCACTGCCTATCAGAATACTTGGCACATAGGAGCTTATTATATATTTGCAAAATTAAGCCCTTCTACAGCACCCTCCTAGCCAGCTGTGCTTGTCTGGGAAAACTCTGCATTGAAAACTCCAAGAATAGTTAGGATTGATATTTCTTCATGAGCAGCCAAACAATCCTGAGTAGGGGATATTTCTCAACCAATTTGCTAGTCATGCTAGAAAGTATACAATTTTTTTTCAATGCCTTTGTTTAACCCTACTTTGAAACTCCTTTCAGAATTGGGGTGTATCTTTTTAAAATATTCATCATGGTGTTAAAATTTTTTCCTTTTGTGGATTCATTATAATTTTGGAAAGAGTCAAAAAAGTCATTTAGGGGGGCTGGCCCGGTGGCACAGAGGTTAAGTTCACAGGCTCCACTTTGGCAGCCTGGGGTTCGCCAGTTTGGATCCTGGGCGCGGACCTACACGTCCCTCATCAAGCCATGCTGTGGCAGGCATCCCACATATAACATAGAGGAAGATAGGCACAGATGTTAGCTTGGGGCTAATCTTCCTCAAAAAAATGAAAGTGATTTAGAACCAAATCTATTACATTTTAAAAACAAAAATTGATTTTCATAAACTATCTCAAAAGCCAATTCCAAAAGAAGAGTCTCCAAGTGTACTATGTGGAATCACTAGAACAAGCATCTAGTTGGTTTTTCAATGTATCTAATTTTAAGCATAACATTCACTTGAATATCTACATACTGATAAATTTCATTCACTCATATAACAAATATTTATTGAATGCCTCATCAGGCAATAATCTAGGCCTCTGGGATATATCCATAAGTAAAACCAAGAGCCCTGCCATTGTGGAATTTACATTCTAGCAGAGGACACAGATAATAAAAACTAAATACAACAAATACGTAAATTATGGAATACATTGTTAAGGTGATAAGTGCAATACTGTCCCTCTCCTACTTAGAACTCTTCAATAGTTCTTTGTCCTAAGAGCAATGGTTGCGTTTAGGATCAAGTTCAAAATGGCTTATGAGTACTTCAGTCCCTCCTGCCTTTCCAACCTCCTCACCCACTGTGCCTCTGTCATACTGGCTGCTGCTTCTCTGTTCCACAAACACACAAGATTTCTTCTTACTTCTGTCCATGCTTTCAAGGAATTTATATTTCTCTGTGTGTGAGTGTGTGTGTGTGGCAGTGGAAGTGGGGCTAGACAATAAACAATAAGCAACAGCGTATTAAAATGTATAGAATATATTGGAAGGTGATGAGTGCCATGAAAAAATGAGAAGTTGAATTGGTATAGATAGCAGGAGTTGGGAATGTAGGAGTATGGATGGTGGGAAGATTGCGATTTTAGATAAGGTGGTCGGGGTAGGTTTCAAGGAGAAGGGGAGATCTGCACCAAGATTGAAAGATGTGAGAAACCCCGAAAGAATCTAGATTCACTAGCCACGGGAGAGAGAAAAAGGAAAGGAAAGCACTCACCAATCTTTATGTGATGTTGTGGGTGCTTTCGAATGAGCTCGACAATCTGGCGGGCAGCTTCTTGTTGGGAAGGAAGAACCAGGGCTGGGTTGCAATTGGTGTTATCTAGGTATAAGGTATGGATCTGTTTCCCCACTCGCAGGGCTGGCTCCTTTAGCATGGATGGCGTATACCGAAAATCACCTGAAGAAGAACATGGGGTGGGTAGAGAGTTAGAGACAAAAGAACAGAAGACAAGCCTCTCCCACCTCAAACAACAAACAGATGGGCATTTTCTTACTGGCCTGTGGAAAAACTATCACGGAGTCTGGTACTGAACTAATACAGTATAGCTTCTCTGTGGAAATGTCTCCATCCTGTTCCTGTTTTTGGATTACTCTTTACAAAGTGTGGACTCTTAAATGAGAAATCAGTTGAGAAAGGGTCACTGTGCTCATATGGGATGAGGCTAGGAGACCTCCAGACTTCCATTATGAGTTAAGGCTGCTCAGGAAAAGTAGTGTCTAGGCTGGGAGGGTAGGAGGGACCCCCCGGGAGGCCCACCTGTGTAGAGGATGGTTCCAAAGTAGCCTTCAAAGAGAAACATGACAGAGCCAGGGCAGTGATTGGCATCAATGAGGGTTACGGTCATGGTCTCTCGCCCAATTTCATCTAGAGGCAGGACATGGCTCTCACCAACTTCCAGGGCTCGGATCCACCGCTTGGATACCTGAGGAAACAGTTGGGCATCCCAATGAACACAGACTCCCCTCCCTGATACCTCCCTGGATCAGGAACCATCCCTTTCCCCAATCACGGAAAGCTGACCAAATCTTGAGCTGCCCAGGAGCCCAAGCTGTAAAGGGGATTCCCAAACAATTCACCATTTCTCCTCCCACTCTCCACCCTACCCTTTGTACAATTTTAAATAAAGATCCAGAAAACAGTCTAGTCAGCGATTTTCAGACTTTCCTGATCATCATAATCCTTTGGGGACACCTGTTAAAAAAATCCCAACCAGGTTTCCAGGACCTGCACTAGCTATAGCTACTGAATCAGATGGGGTATGGGGAGGGGCTGGAGAATCTGTATATTTACCCAGCACATTAGGTGGATTCTTAGGATGAGGCAAGTCTGGGAAACATTGGCCTAGCTTATGTGCAAAGCCAGGAATAGTTCTTGGCTGGACTCAAAGATCTCCCCAACTTGGTGCCGAAACATCCCAAGTCGGCCAGTTGGAAGCCACACTCCTATTCTGTGCTAAAGATGCATTTCTGGTTTCAAACAATTCCTGCATTGTAAAAATCAGTCCTCCTGGCCCCTACTCTGCGACTCCACGGCTGTGACAGATAGGAAGTCCCCACTCAGACGCCTGGACCAGCTCTCGGAGGCCGACTGTAGCCCCCCATACCTGTAGGTGACGATGCAAGAGGTAAGCGCTGATTGGGGAGCAGTAGAGGGGCCGGGCCCAGGTGCTAGACAGACCCACGGTGTGGTCCGAGTGCATGTGGGACAAGAAGAAGAGCCGTGCGCAACCAGCCCGGCGCAGGCTCCAAAAGTCCACGGCGATGGGCGTATTGGGGATCAGGACCCCGTTCATGGTGGCGGGGTTGGAGAGTCACCAGTGGGATCTTCATGGGAACAGACCTCCTGCGTGAGGCTCCCACAACGGCGCCCTGAAAAGAGTCATGCTGGGGCAAGACCAGGGCCAGAGATCCTGAGAGAAAGCCAGCCCAGTAGACGAATAAGTTACTAGAGTGGCAGAAAGAAGGAAGTGACGGTGCTCGCGGGAGTCGGGGGAAGAATCGAAAATCGCGCCTCTAGCCGCGGGCGGGACCTGGGGTCTAGGCCCGGCACTCAAAGCGCCCACTGCCGGGCGAAGACAGGCCCAAGTAGCCGATCTCCGACTGTCTGCCGCAGCTCCACCAGAGGGAGCCGTGAGGCTGCGCCGGGAGGCGAGGGCCTGTGGGACCGACACCCTAAGGTCGGGGGCCGCGCCGCGCTCCGCGCTCGCCCAGAGAGGGTGAGTGGCAGCTGCTCGGCTCGCGGGGGAGGCGGGACTTCCTCAGAAAGCGTGATTGGGCCCAACCGTGACGGCCACCACGTGGAGGCGCCAGAAAGGCTGGACCGGAGAGGGCGGGGTCTGCGGACTGTCGGCTGCCGGGCTGGAAATCGGGCCGAAGGCCTAGAGGTAGCCGGAGAGGTCTATGCGCGGAGCGAGGCAGCCTGCACGTCCCGGGAGGGAAGCGAAGAGCCCGGCGGGAGGCTGGCCGGGGAGCGGAGGGGGCTGAAGTTTGAGTGTGCTGGGGCCTGGGGCCCGGCTCTGGGGAAGCTGTGGCTGGGCGAGGTCACGCCTTTCGTCTCTTCACTAACTGACGTTTCCTTACCCAGGTTCCCACAGCAGGGCTAGAAGGAGCCCGCGAGTTACCTAGTGATCTGGGGGAACCGCCCCGGGCCTGTTGGAGAAGATGCCGTACCTTGGCTCCGAAGACGTAGTGAAGGAGCTGAAGAAGGCTCTGTGTAACCCGCACATTCAGGCTGATAGGCTGCGCTACCGGAATGTCATCCAGCGAGTGATTAGGTATCCCCCAACACCCTAACCCCCCACTGCAGCCCCCGTCAGGCCCTCTACCCCTGGCCGCTCTGAGCGAGGAAATGAGCTTCCATACTTGATGGCAGTTGTATGGTTTGGTCCTCCTGCTTCTCTGGAGTGCCATCTCAGTCTTCCCTGTGGGACGTCTGTTAACTTCATTTACTCGGTTGGTTTCCTCCGTATCTTGAACTTAGACTGCTGACACCCAGATCTATAATACTATATCCAGTACAGACCTCCTTTTTATCTTCGGACTCACATATCCTGCTGCCTGTTTGGCATTTCCACGTGGATATTTCTTCAAAGACATGCAAAATAGCACCTACATCCTTCCCCCTCCCCAAACCTGCTCTTCCGCTTATATTTGTGTTGATGAATGTCCACACCCAGCTGACCAAGCGTGGGACTCAGTCTTGATGATACTTGATTTTCACTTCTCAAGCCAGATGGTGTGAATTCGTAGTTCTAAATATCCATCCTCTTATTTACTTATTTTTTACTAGCGCTGCTGTCGTTCTGGTTTCATTACCACAACAGTTGCAGTAGCTTACTAATAGGTCACCTTGCCTCATTTCAGCCAGAATGAGTTTTCCAACATATGTATTTGAACATATAACTCTTGCCTACAGCTGTGGATCACAAACTTTAGTATGCCCCAAAGTCCCTTGGGGTGCTTTTAAAAAAATGTAAATATTTCATCCAATCCAGTGCTTCTGACTTCAGTGGGATGGAATGGAAGCCAGGAATCTGCATATTAAGTGTCCCATCAGATTGCTGTAGGAGACCACAGTTTGAGAAACAGTGATCTACAGAGCAAAGTCCAAGGAAGACCCAGCTAACTCAACTACCTGCACATTCTCAAAATAGTGTACCACGTAGACATGCCTCATAGCATATATCATTACCTATCTACTACACTTGACTGGCAACTCCTGCTCGTTCAACTAAAGTATTACTTCCTCTGTGGAAACATTTTATGACTTCCTGGCAATATTAGACCTCTGGATCCCCACTGCACCTTCTCTGTTACTTCAGTTATGATACTTATCTATCGTAGTGTAATTAGTGGTGTTTTTGTCTGGTTCCTTGAGCTCCTAGAGATCTAAAACCATGCCTTATTCAAAATTATGTCCCCAGAGCATATCCCTGGAATGTAAAAGCTGAATTTCACTGGAATGTACTAGGAATTCAGTAAGTGTTTATTGAATGAATAGAAGAACGTTTATTGCACGCCCATGGTGTGAAGTATTGTGTGATATAGTAGACCTGGTTGCTTCCCTCTAAGAGATCACAATCTAGTTGGATAACCAGGGCGTGCATAAGTAAAATGCCTTCTGTTGTATGTTGGCGATTATATATTTTACATCTTCCTGCTATGTATGTTGGTTTTAGGCACATGACTCAGGGCTTGGACATGTCTGCTGTTTTCATGGAAATGGTGAAGGCCAGTGCCACTGTAGATATTGTTCAGAAGAAGTTGGTGTATCTGTACATGTGCACATATGCCCCCCTGAAACCAGATCTGGCTCTCCTGGCCATCAATACATTGTGCAAAGACTGTTCGGACCCCAATCCGATGGTGCGAGGGCTGGCCCTACGGAGCATGTGTAGCCTCAGGTGAGCACCCTCTTCCCTGCCTGTTTCTCAGTGGCTGATGACTTCAGGAGCTCATGGGACAAGTTTTTAATGCTGACAATTTGTTTGAGCTCCTTAATATTGGGGGAAACACTGTTGTAACTTGAACTCAGGTTCTGAGCCATTGCTTTGGTTTAAGAAACTATATCATGGTTTCATTAAAGGGAGTTTTCCACCCTCACTCTTGGTGAAATAGTTCTTGGTTTTGGTTAAAGGTTTCTAAACAATTATGTATATGTATATTTTTGCTGCCAATGCAGCATGATTCCAAATGAAAAGTCAAGTATGGCTTTTGAAGTATGGCAGCAGCTTTCTCCAGTTCTTTATGATCTGATAGATGCACGTTCAAATATCTGTTAAACCCTTTGTTAAGTGAATAGAGGCTGAATTATGTCAAAACTAGTATTTAGGATTTGGCTGACTTCAAGATGTGTTGTTCAGGATGCCTGGTGTGCAGGAGTATATCCAACAGCCTATTCTCAATGGTCTGCATGATAAGGCTTCGTATGTCAGGAGGGTGGCAGTCCTTGGTTGTGCCAAGATGCATAATCTTCATGGAGACTCTGAAGTGGGTGAGTTTCAGTGTAATCCATCATGATCAACATTTTTTTGTGCCTCCATTCTATGTGTACCTTTGTAAAAGATTGTAGCTTTGGTAGAAAATAATAATGTTGCCCTACTTCTGTACCTGTCTCTTTAAGTAGGATGCAGGGCTTGGTATTTTCTGAGATTAGAGAAGTCCTTTCTTTGGGGTCCAGGTGAGATCCTTTGCATTAGTTACAACAGCCTGGAAATGGCAGTTTTTTTGCCTTGCGCTTTGTTATTGCCTTTGTTATTTTTGTAGCCGAGTTCAGCTTTGTCTGTCTGGAGCTGTTACACTCTGGCTTTTTCCCTGCGACTCTGAAGCTTTTCTTCTTTGCCTGAGATGTTTGTTCTCTTTTACAGATGGTGCCCTGGTAAATGAATTATACAGTTTGCTGCGTGACCAGGATCCAATTGTGGTTGTGAACTGCCTGAGGTCTCTAGAGGAAATTCTGAAACAGGAAGGAGGTGTTGTCATCAATAAGCCCATCGCCCACCATCTCTTAAATCGGTTTGCATGCTTCAGTGCTCTTTTTGCTATGATAAGATCTGCATCCCAGGGGGATCTTATCTATGTGTTGAGTTAAGGAGAGGTCTTGAACAACTTCTGTAGAGTGGTAAAGAAAGTTAACTATAACTATTAACTTCCTCGTATTTCATTGAGAAGATTTCTTTTATTTGTCTTAGTTTCTTTGGCTGATACCAAGAGATGGCAGGAACATCCTGAGGGGATAGATTCTGTCCTCTAGTCATTGTGTTCCCCAAACTAAGCCGTTTATGCTGTCTTAAAATGTAGAGAGTCTGGATCTAGGGTATAGTGATCATGTCTTTGGCCTTAGATGAGTGTGCATTTGTACTGTAAACTGATCTTGGAATTGAAAGCCTATTTTGTATAAAATATTTTAAATAGTATGTAAAAAGAATAATTCGATTATGGCACAGCCTATTTTCAAGAATTCTCCCCTTGTTACGATGAATAGATGACTGGTAACATGGCAGTAACAGGGAGATGATCCTAATTTTGTTGCTGAAACAGCACTTTTCTTTTCTTTTTTTGGATAGAATGTCAAAACTGGACCAGTGGGGCCAGGCTGAAGTATTGTACTTTCTGCTACGCTACCAACCCCGCAGTGAGGAGGAGCTGTTTGACATTCTCAATCTGTTGGACAGCTTTCTCAAGAGCAGTAGCCCAGGCGTGGTTATGGGAGCCACCAAACTCTTTCTGATCTTGGCAAAAAAATTCCCCCATGTACAAACTGATGTGCTTGTGCAAGTCAAGGGGCCTTTGCTGGCTGCTTGTTCTTCAGAGAGCCGCGAGCTCTGTTTTGCTGCCCTCTGTCATGTGCGCCAGATCTTGCATAGTTTGCCAGGTCACTTTAGCAGCCACTACAAAAAGTTTTTTTGCTCCTACTCGGAGCCCCACTACATCAAGCTACAGAAGGTGGAGGTGCTGTGTGAGCTGGTGAATGATGAGAACGTGCAACAGGTGTTAGAGGAACTTCGAGGGTACTGTACTGATGTGTCTGCTGACTTTGCGCAGGCTGCCATCTTTGCCATAGGTGGGTATCTGCTACTTTTTCGTTCTGAGAGCCTAGACCAACCAGCTAGAAAGCTGTGGAACCATAGAGAGCAAGGGGAATGAATCTTGCTTCAGAGACAAAGTACTGTGCACTGAAGAATTGGGTCAATGACTACAAATAAGGGGGAGAGGGACAAAAAAAGTTTTTTTGTCAACACTGGTATTGCCATATCTTCCAGAATAGAGAATACAGATAACTCAAACTATAATACTTAAAGTTTATATTGCCTTTGTTGTCTACTCTCCAGAATGCCTTCCTGTGTATCGTCTCAACACAGCCTTATGAAGTGAGGCAGTCAGGAAAAGTGGACAAGTGTTATTAACTTTGTTTTAAAGATGAAAAAACTCAAGTCACAAAAAGGTTATTAACTTATCAAAAGGTCATACAGTTCCGGACCTGGGCCTGGAACCCAGCTCTCCTGACGCAAAGTCCTATGTCACTTCACCCGTTGTTTGTTGGGTTTCTACTATGGGCTATGTATTGTGCTGAGTAGAGACCAACACAGAATAAATCCTGAGTTTTACAGACTTATTCATACTACTCTGGAATTTAAGAGGCTAGAGTGACTCACAAAATGAAAGCAGCTGGGCAGCTAAGTTTTGGAGAGCTTCATGTGGAGGAGGAGAAGGAACCCTCATGTGTAGAATAAAGTATTTTTTAGGGGCAGAGAAGAGGGAACAAAGAGGAAAGTAGAAATCCTACAGTCAGGAGACTGCTGTCACATGTTCCCGGCAGGAATATTCCTGTGCGGATGTGCTGCAGTGAACAGTACCTCATATCGCGCTGGCACATAAATACCTTTGTTACTGAAAGTTTTCAACCTTGTTCAATGGGAAGTTATTTTACCGAAGTTCCCCTAATAGCAAACTTAGATTCTTATTTCATCAAGCAAGGGATGATTTTTTAAGTATCTTTGGTCCTCTTTGTCTTTGGCTGGTGGGGAATTATTTTAGAATGAGGTGCTAATATTTGACTTAACGCTTTTCTTTCCTTTCCCTTCCTGTGTAGGCGGCATTGCCAGGACCTACACGGATCAATGTGTGCAGATTCTAACAGAGTTGCTGGGGCTTCGACAAGATCATATTACCACAGGTAATGACTGCCTCCCTAGGTTTTTTTTTTTTTTTGTCAATTGCCTGGCCTATAGTAGTTGCTCAAAAAGTATTGTTTAATAACAAAGAGGTTTAAACTTTTCTTTGCATCATCATCTCTTGCCATCTGAGAAGCAGAGAGTCTATAAATCTAACACAGTAGAGGGTATGCAAGGCTGTTCTATAGATAATGAAGGTACTAGGATGACCTTGCTTATTATTTCCCCACCTTTACCCCTCTTTTTGCTTTAAGGTAGCATACTGTAAGCAGTGGCTTCCAGGGCTGGCACTAGGGTGAGGCAGGCAAGGTGCCTATGATGCAAAAGTTTAAAGAGGCACTCACTCTCAGGCTCGTGCAAGTGCTGACCCTGCGTGTCTTCTTAAGTTTTACACCCTTGGCACCTTGCTTCACCCTAGTCCCAACTCTGGGGGTTCCATTTATACTGTCTTTGGAGTATCATTCAACAGCAACACTACCCCACATTTGCATACAGCTTTGCATTTTACCAAGTGCTTTTGCCTACATTAGCTCATTTATCCTCATGGCAATCTGCTAAGAGCAGCGTTCTTTTAAGAATTATTGCCCACGTCACACATTTCTCAGATAATCATTGACCACATCTCCAACACCCATTTTACAGAAATCCACCCAGCAATCTAGTCTGAATGTATTACTTTTCTTCAGATTCCTTCCTGCGTGGAGGCTCTAATCTTGTCCTTTTGTATCCTGAGCTGTGTTGTAGTGGTGGTGCAAACTTTCCGAGACCTGGTTTGGTTGTGTCCTCAGTGTACGGAAGCTGTGTGTCAGGCCCTGCCCGGCTGTGAGGAGAACATTCAAGATAGTGAGGTAGACTGTAATTCGCCTTTACTTCCAGGCAAAGGGGGAATGCTTGGGACTGCTCTGTGAGATGGAATCTAATTATTCTTTCTACCCAGTATCAGAAGTAGAAATTCTTAGAGTTAATTGCCACCTCAGATTCTATTTTGGGTGTAAGTGGAAAATAAATTATAAAAACATTAGGATTTAGCTATAGTTTTTATCACAAATACTTTAATTCTGTTGTTCTCTTGAACAGTTTTGAATTAGAAATTTAGGCCATGGAGTTTTCAGCTGAAATGAAAATGAGAATCATTTGTGGGATTTTTACAAATATCTGGGCTTCACCACAGGTCTACTGACTTAAATATTCAGGAGTGGTAGACCTAGACACACACACACACACATTTTTTTTTTTTGGTGAGGAAGATTTGCCCTGAGCTAACATCTGTTGCCAATCTTTGTCTTTTTGCTGGAGGAATATTAGCCCTGAGCTAACATCTGTGCCAGTCCTCTATTCTGTCTGTGGGACGCTGCCACAGCATGGCTTGATGAGCAGGGTATAGGTCTGTGCCTGGTATCCAAACTTGCAGACACTGGGCTGCTGAAGCAGAGCATGTGAACTTCACCACTACACCACCAGGCCAGCCCCTAGACACATATATTTTTAAGAAGCTTCACAGCTCATTCTGATATGCACTCTAGGTTAATCACCACTTTCATGAAGTAATTTAGAGAAATCTTTCAGTAGCTTCCACTGAAACATTAAACTCCAAATTGGGTCAGAGGCCCCAAAGCTGAGGAAGCCTTACTGCTCAGTCAACATAGACTATGACAGTCTTGAGTCTTCTTTTGTGCGGTAGAATTTCATTCCTGTTTGTTGTAGAGAGTTTGGTAGGCGGAATTGATACAATCCAAGTTGAAGTAAATAAAAGATTATACCTTTTCTGCTGACGCTAGGGGAAAAGCAAAACCTGCAACTGTCTACTGTCTTCTGTGTTTTGGACAGCCAAATGTTGAGCACCTGTTCTTGTTCCTTCATTTCCTAGGGGAAGCAGGCACTTATTTGGCTACTTGGTGTCCATGGGGAAAGAATTCCCAATGCTCCTTATGTCTTGGAAGACTTTGTGGAGAATGTGAAGTCAGAGACGTTTCCAGCTGTTAAGATGGAGCTACTCACTGCCCTGCTGCGCCTTTTCCTCTCGCGACCTGCTGAGTGCCAGGACACGCTGGGGCGTTTGTTGTATTACTGCATCGGTAGGTTCTTCAGAAGGAAATATCACTTGCCATAACCAATAGTAAAAATTCTCACAGCTTGCATTGTTTGTTGAGTCATGTCTGGGACCTAAGGATAAAATGTTAATGTTTTCTAGCGTTTCCTCCCTCCTTCATTTTTTTCTCCTATTTTGGTTGGCACAGGGGTAAAAAAGGAGTGCTTTTGTTTTTAACTGACTCAATCTGTTGTCGTACCTCAGAGGAAGAAAAGGATATGGCAGTACGGGACCGAGGTCTCTTCTATTATCGCCTCCTCTTAGCTGGCATTGATGAAGTTAAGCGGATCCTGTGTAGCCCTAAATCTGACCCTTCTCTTGGACTTTTGGAGGATCAGGCAGAAAGACCTGTGAATAGCTGGGCTTCAGACTTCAACACACTGGTGCCAGTATATGGCAAAGCCCGCTGGGCAACCATCTCTAAATGTCAGGGGGCAGAGCGTTGTGGCCCAGAGCTTCCTAACACTGCATCCTTTGCCACATCAGGTAAAAATAGTCTTTATATCTTGTCATGAAAAATCTTTATTTTTTGCAGTGACTGGTAGAGAAAGTAGAATACCCTAGCTAAATCTTAGACTGTTGCGTAAATTTGAAGTCTTTGTGAGCAAGAAAGAAGTTCATCATTGGTTATTTAAGCCATTTATCCAAAGATAAAAGTCATATTGTGTACTTCTGGAAATCTAGATGAAAAATGTACTTCCTATAGATTAAGAACATCTCTTACACAAGCTTTCTGACTCTTTTAGGACCCCTGATTCCTGAAGAGAACAAGAAGAGGGTACAAGAACTCCCTGATGCTGGAGCCCTCATGCTAGTCCCCAAATGCCAGCTTACTGCTGAATGTTTTGAGAAAACTTGGCTTCACCTCAAAGTTGCTCATCAGCAAGTACTCCCTTGGCAGGGAGCAGTCCATCCTGACACCCTCCAGATGGCCCTGCAAGTAGTGAACATCCAGACCATTGCAATGAGCAGGGCAGGGGCTCAGCCATGGAAAGCCTACCTCAGTGCACAGGATGATACTGGCTGTCTGTTCTTAACAGAACTGCTGTTGGAGCCCGAGAACTTGGAAATGCAGATCTCCGTGAAACAAAATGAGGCTAGGACTGAGGCACTGAATGGTTTTATTTCTGTATTAGAAACTGTGATTGGAACAATTGGAGAAATAAAATCATAACAGATTCTTGCTGCCTTTTCTAAGTGAGGTGAATAGCTGTGAGTGCCTTAATTTTTCTTATTAGAGCTGCTTGTGAGTCCAGATAGCATCAAATACAAAGGAGAATGGGAAATCTAAGAATGAGGGTTGTTGTGTTTTTGTCCAAAGACCATTGACTTATTCCTCTCATACCTATTGGTGAATGACCCCATTTTTCCAGGTGATGTAAAGGTTAGTGTTGTTGGTAAGGGGATGGGAATGGGGTAAGAATAGGATTTGGATTCTTTTCTAATCAGTTTGAGCGATTGTGTTACTAATTAAAGATGCCTGATGTGTGTGGACACTGATAGAGTCATCATTTGTAGGAGTCATCTCTTCTTTCCTTGATTATTTCTATAAATTGCTGACTGTTCTTATATTTGTAATCATGCTTTTTTAGGCCATAGTTCAAAGTCCTTACTGTGGCATCTGAAGTAACTCTTCAGTGTCATGTCTCCCCACTCCCCAAAACACCCTCTCTTCTGGCAAAAGCAAACCACTTACAGTTTCTTGAATGCACTAAGCTCTCTCTCACCTCTGTGCTTTGGCACCTGTTTTTATTTCTTGCCTAGAACATCTCCTCACCCCTATACCTTCTTTGTTTAAGTAACACCTAGTCTGTCTGTCAGTATGCAGCTCGGTCATGAGCTCTTTCAGGAAGTTTTCTGTGACCCTCACTGCCTTCATTAAGGGTCTCGTTCAAGCTGTCAAAGCAGTCAGTGCATATGTCTAGCAGCACTATTGTAGCTGTGTTCTTGTCACTCTTCCTCACTTTTAATTTTATCCATAACTGACCACAATTTTATATGTTAATTGAAACAACTTATGGCAAGAACAGATGTAATAAAATGATGGTAAAGTATAAATAACTAGAGAATCCAGAACAGGGAAAATGAAAATACCAGTTAAGACCAGCTGAGTTAAGGGATGAGGAAGTATCCAAATGTTCAGGCCATAAGGGCCTACATAGCTGATAGAGCTGAGCCTCAGATTTAGCTCTGTAAGTGATCTGGCAGTCAGAGAAAAGAGAAATGGTTGTATAGTTGTCATCAGAGAGGAAGAAACATTCCAATTCTAATTTCTAAAAGAAGTTTACATGTAGTCTCACATAGGTGGCACTGTGATATATATAAGATTCCTAGGGGAAGTTAGTAAAGGGTTTCACGTGACTCTCTTATGGTCTTCTTCAGTGAAGGCAGAGAGCATAACTTTCACATGGAGCTTAGTGAACGCATTTCTTCAAGGACTTGACATGATCCAAATATCATCCAGCTGAATTCAAGGACTTCTACTGCCTGGATATATAGATGGACTGCATATCTTTCAAATAATCTTCACCCATCCCTTCTCTCAACTAGGCTCTTAATAGAAGTAGATAACAGAAAGTATTGAATTTTCTGGTAAGCGCCTGGATTTTGTGAGTTGTTTGTCCGCACTGGACAATTTCTAAGGACAGTGATTGTCTTTCTTTCCTTCTATCTCCACAGTGCCTGCCACATAGTGGTTACTCAGTAAATATTTATTGAATGAATAGCTCTAAGTAATTAGATTCTGATGATGTTTTGGGATTGGTGTTTCAAATGAGTTTTGTTATATTTTATCAACTATACAGAAAATAATAGATGGAATTCCATCTAGACTGGGGTTTCTCAAAAATGGCACTATTGACATTTGAGGCCAGATAATTCTTTGTTGTCGAGGGTTTTCCTGTGCACTGTAGGATGATTATTAGTATCTCTGGCCTCTACCCACTAGATGCCAACAGATCCCCTAGTTGTGACAACTGAAATTGTCTCCAGACTTTGCCAAAGGTGCCCTGGAGGTCAAAATCCCCCCCAGTTGAGAATGACTGATCAAGGCCGTGCATCCCCAGGGACTGGAAGTAGAGGAATCAGAGCAGCTTCAGAATTGCTTTTTCCATATTTTGACTTGGTTGGTTAAACCATGAATGTTCAATTAGGCACTAAAAGAAATAAAATCGAAGTGTATAGTGCTGCCAATTTGAAGTGTTACAAGGGAACAGGATGTAAGTGGTATAAATTTGAGTATATTGGATTTTTTTAAAATTAAAGACTATAATTGAAATGTTGACCCTTTCCTAATTTGTAAGCAAAATTACTAAAACTTAAATATACCATGAAGTTAATTATTTAATATCTCTTCTCCCTAGGAGCTCTCTCTAACCTCTGCAGATATATGGTTTTATGATATGATATAAGTAGATGCTCATCTTTAAAATCCATAAGGGTAGTTAATACTGTGCCCTTAGGAAAATGGCCTTCTAATGTCTGTCATAGTTGGTAGGTAGTATGTAACATGTAATGAGTGCCCACCAATGACCGTGGTGCTTTGAAACATTGCAGAGACAATCATTTGCACGGTTCTTGACCATAATTTTATTACTATGGACCAGTGGCTGTTATTTGCCTCCATCTCTCCCTCCTTTTTTACATGGGAGTTCTGTTACAATTATTCTATCCCTTTTTCATATATTGGGTGTCTAGGGGAGGGGAGACAAATAACTTAATTTCCTATTTATAGGTCTCCACATTGAGAGGAGATGTACCCAAGAATCCTCATTCACACGCATACCTGGTGCAGATAACAAGATCCTGGACTTTGAGCCAGTGATATAATGAGATGAGGCTTTTGTGAGAGGCATGTAAATTGTTGTGGCCAGAGTGGCAAGAGAAGCAAGTGAGAGTGAAAAAATCCTGGCCTTATTTTTCAGTAAAAATTAGGAGTACTATATTTGAACTGTAAGAGTGAAGGGTGTGTAGGCTGAGCGGGAAGGGATGGTTTGGGAGGGTGCTACAATGAAGGCCTGAAGAGAAATAAACAAAGGGGGAAAATTTACCACACATTGCCCATGAGAGGGTATACTCTGTTTCTATGGCCTTATAACATTGGTTGTAAAGATAATACAAAGGATAGATAAGATAATGCAAAGATTAGATTCCAAAGATGGCATATTCCCATAAGCCTATCAGTACTGAAATGAGGAAAGTGGTTTATTATTGTGGGAAAAGGCTAATTATTTGAGGTCAGATAGACATGGTTTTAAATTTCTGTTCTGCCACTTACCTTGCGTAAGCTATTTAACACAAGTTGGATGGTATTTAATAATTTTTTAATATTATTTTGGTGGTATATTGTAAGAGTATTTGTTGGAATCCTTAAATCGTCAATAGCTAGCTCGAGTATGAAAGCAGGTTGGCCTAGAATTATCTCTGAGGGACCTTATAATGTTAATGGTCTGAAGTCTGCTTAGTAGAAACTGAAGTTTCAGCTCTAGTGATAATGACAAAGGAAAATGGCCCTTTAGCTACATAATTCCTAACCTAGTCCAAAAACAATTTATGATCATTTGTTTTTTTAGAATTGAATAGAAAATAGAAGATTGGCTCTAATTGTTTTCTAAGGTAGAAATTCCATTTTGAACAACTGATTTATATTTTATGCTTGAATCTCTTATTAGTTCACCAGGTCAGACTACCCTGGAAGGACTGATAGGTTTGATTGCTCCTTCTAGACCCAAACCTAAAATCTAGATGTAGCTATATTAAGAAGGCGGCTGGTATGAGTAAGTGTCCAATGCTGAGATCTCGTAAAACAATGATGGAGTCCAACCCTGTTTGGAAAATCCTAATTAATCCTGTTAGAGATTGGATCCCAGATCCCTTACCAGCACAGGGACACAGATATCCTCAGTATCAAATAGGTTTAGTGAGAAGAATATTTCAGGAGGCTTCAGATATTGTACTGTGATGACTGGCTTGGTTTCCTGTCCTGACATATTGGGCAAAATCTACCTTATCTACGAGATCATCATCACGATATCCTCTGTCTTGAGTCTGTGCAAGCACTTAAATGTACCTTTTTCTTACAGATTCTGAGGAACCGGCCTACCTGCATTCTAAAAGAATTACTGCAATATCTAGCTTTCTCTCATCAGATACCCTGGTTTTTGATGGTTTAGAGGAATTTATACACTGAGGCTGGACAGATGGAATGCATCTACAAACCCTCAAATGAAAATGAATTTGCTGCTACACAGAAAACTTGGCCATTCATGGGGTGTGGGACTGCCAAGGCACAGCTTTGCTTCAGGGAAACATGCAAGCAAGGTAATGGTAGAGGTGTTTATGGTTGGTTTTCAGGTGACTTCTTAGGAAGACAAGCCAACCTAAAGGAGATAGAGAAGGGCTGAGAATAATGAACCCTGGGTTGCATCTTTGACGAGTATGTAGACAAGGATGCCAGTTGCCTTTGGCAGGCATAGAATCTAAGAGACGTGATTCAGGTATGAAACTTATAGCACTGAAGATAAGTTAGGAGGTCTGACGGATGCCTATGCTCGTGCTGCAGAGGTAAGTTGAGGTTGTCATGCCTGCCTTGGGTACAAATAGACCCCAGGGTCTCTCTGGGAGACAAGTTCAAGCTTTATCATCTTGACAATGGAGTACTCATTGGCTACATTCAGAGCAGAACAGACTTCCATTTCCTCAAATAAGAAGATGGTGGCACTCCTATAAGGACAGTAGGAGTCAGATAGGCCAGGAAGAACCGAAGAAGTCAAACAGCATTCATCCAGTGAGTCCTATGGGGCATCATGCTCTACCACCTCTGGCAGCTCCCTGATGAACCTAGTTGGGTAGGGAGGACTGAAGATTACAACAAGAAGGATAGACACCACAGCATCCTAGCTGCTTTTGATGAGAGGCATAGAAGTATAGTCACAGCAAAGGCACAGACCCATTAATGAGAGAAAAAACTAACCTATTTCAGGGGCAGAGTGTGGCTGCCTTGGGGGAAGTAGAGACAGAGAAAAAAGGAGACAGAGAGAGAGAATAGAAGGTGTTCAGTGCATTAGCCATATAACAAGCTTATGAGCATGAACTATGATTGAATGGAAGTCATGACTCCCAGCACATGTGGAGAATCATAAAAGTGGCTTCAACATTTTTGCATAAATTTTGTTGATAATTACATTCAGTGACCAAGTCAACACACACTTTAAAGGTATCCTTAGGGACCGGCCCCGTGGCTGAGTGGTTAAGTTGGCATGCTCCACTTCAGCGGCCCAGGGTTTCACTGGTTCAAGTCCTGGGCATGGACATGGCACCTCTCATCAGGCCATGCTGAGGCAGTGTCCCACATGCCACAACTAGAGGGACCACAACTAAAAATACACAACTAGGTACTGGGGGGCTTTGGGGAGAAAAAGGAAAAAAAAATCTTAGAAGAAAAAAGTGTCATTGACTCATTGTAACTTATTGTAGTATTAATTTATTTCCTTGAT